TTTTCTTTATGAATTTGCCAGCCCTCTTTGGTGTTTCTTGGAGGGGCCCCCAAAGGCACACGCTGAGAAACATGGGTCTGCAGGCTAAAATCTAAACTCATCTCCTCGGCACGCTCTCTCATGCTCCGTCCCACTTCAGCCCCTGCTCCTCTGCCCCAGCAGCCCAGCCATTCTGAACCCACAGAATCTCATGACTGCACACTCTCGAAAAGCCACTTCCCTCCTCCTGGGACACCAGTCCCGTCCCAGTGCCCCAAACACACCTCGGCCCCACGCGCGACAGAGCCCTCATCCTAAGAGGCCAAGGGCGTTTCAGGGTCCTGCATGGGCCATCTGAAGGTGTCAGGGTGTGGCCAGCATCAAGGGACTGTGGTACACAGAGGCCCGAGAGGGGCAGGGGCACAAACAGCGAGGGGGAGGCGGGGAGGCCACAGGTGGAGATACAGGGAGTGAAACGTCTGCACACCCAGGAGAACCGCGCCCAGTGGAGACGGCCTCTCTCCTCGGCCACAGTGGGGAGGGCACAGCAGATGGAGCTAGAAGTGGAGGACTTGGAACCCCTCCTGGACCCCCCGCAAGCCAGAACACCCCCCAGGGGCAGCAGTCAGAACTTGAGAAATAGGTTCACTGGACACTTGTGGGGTTTTACTTAAAAGCAATTGGCAGTTTGAACTACTCTGTTTTCCTATCATGCCAAAGGCCCAGGATCGTGTGGCTTTTCTTCTTGTTGACTGAATACAAGGGGTTTGGTTTTAACAGCTCTACCGAGGGATAAACCGACTTAACAGTAAACTGCACACATTTGGAGTGCACAGATGGATTCAGCTGACACACAGGCCCCCGTCGCCACACTCCAGGTGGTGAGCACAGCCACAAGCTCCTTGGTGACCCCCCCTGTCCTGCACCGCTCCACCGCCCCACGCCAAGCAAGCCTGGGTGGCTTTCTGTCACTAGAGTTTGCATTTTCTAAAATTTTATATAAAGGGACTCATACAACATGCGGCCTTTTGTGTCTGGCTTCTCTCGCCAAGCGTGCTTTCACGGTTCATGTTGTTGCAGTATCACTAGTCCATTCCTTTCTATGCTGAGTAGTACTCCATTATATGGGTGTACCACGGTTTATCTCCTCTCCTTGATAGATACGGAGATCTTTCCAATTTGGGACTATTATGAATAAATACGAATATTTGTATATAAGTCTTTGTATGGACAAATGTTTTCATTTCTTTGGGGTAAATCCCTAGGAGTGGAATAGCTGGGTCCTACGGTAGGTGTATGTTTCACTTTTTAAGAAACTACCACACTGTTCTCCAAAGGGCCAGTGCCATTTTACATTTCCACCAACAGTGACGACTCCTGACTTTCTGCCCATCTGTTAGGTATGTACTGGAGTCCCACTGCGGTTTTCACTTGCATTTCCATGATTACTACTGAAGTGGAACACTTTTCATGTGTCTGTTGGCCATTTGGATTTCCTCTTTTATGAAGTTCCTGTTCAGGTCTTTTCTATTTGGTTATCAGTCTTCTTTTCTTATTGATTTGTAGAAAATTATTTACTTAATTCTAGATGTAAGACCTTTGTCTCATCCCAAATATCTTCTCCCACTTAGTGATGTCTTTCATTCACTTTATAGTCTTTTGATGAACAGAACGTCTTCATTTTAATGCAGATTAATTTATCAATCTTTTCTTTGTGGCTTACGAATTTTGTGTCTTTTTAAGACTCTGAGGTCATGAAGATTTCCCTATTTTATCTGCAGGTTTTTGGGTTTTTTTGCCTTTCTCGTGTCTATCAATAAATGCACCTGGAATTGACTTTTTATTATGGTGAAATGTGGAGATCCATTTTCGTGTGTGTGTGTGTGTGTGTGTGTGTGTGTGTGTGTGTGTGACTATGGATCCCCATTGTCCCAACATTATTCAACAGACCATTTTTCCCGTTGTTCTGCAGTGTCTGTTTCACCAAAAATCAAGCACAAACACATTGATCTATTTCTGGTTCTTTGTTCCGGCCATTTGTCTCCCCTTGTACATAACCCCATTCTCTCTCTTTAGCTTTATACTAAGTCTTGAAATCTGGTAGAGCAAGATCTCTCAGCATCTCCTTTTTCTTCCAGAACCTGTTGACTAGCTTCATCCTTCTAGGTTGGCATATAATTATTAGAACTGTCTTTTCAAATTCAAAAAGAAACATGTAAGGATCTTTATCTGGATTGCATTAAACCTACAGGTCAATGTGCAGAAATTTGACATCTTTTATATAGCCTCCTTATTTGGTTCTTCTCTCATGTTTCCCAAAGTTTTCTTACATGTCTTTTGTTATACATATTCCTGTGTACTTGATTTTTATGCCATTGTAAATTGCACCTTTTTAAGTCTTAATTTCTAATTTTGTGGTTTTGGTGCACAGAATGCAACTGGTTTTATAGTTGATTATGTATTCAACAACTTTAAAAACTTCCTTATTAATCTAAAAATGTACCTGTAAGTAATTTTGGATTTTCTACACTTACATTGTCAAATAAGTTCTGTTTTCACCTTTCTAATTCTTATATCACTTATTTTGTTTGGTTGCTAATTGCCTTAGTGGACCCAACTCAAAAGTAAAGCTTTAAATTTTTCACCATTAGTTATAATGCTTGCTGTGGGTTTTTTAATAAATAACCTGTGTCAGAACAAAGACATTCCCTTCCACTCCTAGTTGCCAGGGGTTTTTTATTAAACACTTTTTCTTCATCTGTTAACATGATCATATCATTTTTATCCCTTAATAAGCTGTAAATATAGTGAACTATGTAACTTATAAATATGGCTAGGTAAGGCTAAAACACACACATACACATACATACCTATGCCGAAGTGGGCACTAGCTCAAAACATGAGAAGTTTATCACCTGTTTAGCCAGGATGGTAGCTGGATTGGCAGGAAGCTCTTCACAGGCCACCACCTTGTAACTCCTCCATCCCCTCCATGGGACAGGAACACACAATGCTCCGGGAAGACTAGCTAACCCACCTAGAAAATGAGCAAGCCTTTTCTAACATATACCAGAAACATGGGAAACACATGTGAAGTGGATTCTAAGGGTGTTAGACCACAGAGGGTGGGACATAACACTAGATCAGGCCAAATTTATGGATGATGGTAAAGGGACTAGAGTTCAGATTTAATGCACTCATTTGAGCAGCTGGAGGTGTTTCTAAACAACATATCTGACTGAGACTTATCCTCAGAAATGGCCTACATTTAGCTAGGGTGAGATGCCAGAGCTTCCCTGGCATGGAGGAGGGAATCCAAAGGCCTAGGGAGATAGGAATGTCGGACTGGATTCATCCCGTGTGACCTGCACACCTACCTCCCAACTACGGATTTCCGGAAGACCCGGAAGACGTTCCTTTCACTAGGGCACCGAGAAACCCCTTAGTAAGAGGGGCTCACGTGCTTGGAAGGCTTCGGGATTGTTCTCCTTGACGGCACGCATGGTGGTGGGGATGCTGCCGCTGAGGTGGGCTCCCCAATTTCAGTGGAGATGATGGGATTCCAGAGGAGCAGAGGCCAAACGGCAGGAATCGACCACCAAAGGCAAGGGGGGTGCATCCACCGAGAGAGACAGCAGACGTGTACCCCCAATCAGAACACCTTGGTCCCCAGGGGTCTCTAACAGTGGTTCACTGAACACAGTGCTCCTAAGAGTACTGACTGATCTATAAAACGGGGGGAAAAAAAACAAAAAACCTTTAGGCCCAAGAGCCAAAATCCTGACTTGAGTCCCAACTGTGGCTAGGAACTGCCTCTCACCTGGTTCTCAGACCCAAGTCAATTCACAGGCCAGACCCCCTGACTGCAGGGGAGGCTGGGTCTGAGACTCCTCCCCCAAGCCTTCCCAAATCCCAGCTCCACTGCTCAGCTGTGATACTGGAACTGGAACGATGTTAAGCTGGTCAGGAGAGGGTGCTGGAGGGATGCTGGAAAGAGGGGGGTTTCTCTTCGTAGTTCCACAGTGCTTCCCTTCTTTCTAACCCCCTAGGCACCTGGCTGGTATACGAGACACCGGTGGAGCATACCTGCTGCAGTGTCAGCGGCACCCAGCAGGCAGCTTCCCGGATGAGCTCCTCAGGTATCCCAACAGGCTTCCCTGAAACTTCAACTTCCCCACAGGCAGCCTCCCAGCTTTCCCCGGGAGTCCAGCCTGCTCCCATCAGTGTCCCACCAGGTTCAACGGAACCCCGTGCAAGCAGCTTCCCAGCGAATCTCTCCGGCACGCCAACAGGTAGTTTCCTGCCCACCAGCCTCGGTCCAGCAGCCCAGGGTAACCCAGTGAACCTCTCAACCCTGGAGCAGGTGCAACCACTACAGAACCTTTAGGTTATTTGCTGATGGTAAGCTTGGAGAGACACGCGTCTGGAGGCCTGGACAATTTCTGTACACTCATTTTTCAGAGCCAGAGTTACCAGCACACTTATGAATGTGTGTTTAAAAGGGGCACACTGCCCCCTAACTTTGCCACAGACTCCCCTGTTCCCTACTATTACGCCTAGTGTTTCTGCACTAATTATGGCTCCTACACGGCCCCTGTGGGTCTTATGGTCGATGACACATGCCTACCAGGTTCTTAACTTCAGGAGACGAGGCTCCTAGACAGGTGCTGGGAAAAAGCTTCCCCTCTGCAGTGCTGGGGAATGTGAGACACCCCCTGGATACAAGGGACCAAACTCATACGGCTCTGAGATGCACTGGGGCTGTCACACCAACCACCCGTCCTCAGGGTGATCTCTGTGTCCAAAATAATCCTGCTTTGCAGCCCATGGGATTCAGCCCACTAAGCTTCACTCATTCCCCGAAGGTCCTGGGCAGCAATACAAACTAAGCCAAAAGGGGACAGAGTTTTTCCCTGTCATCTTCTCTCCCCTTCCCCACCGCCCTCTTAATGCTGGCAGACCCCAATCCTGTTCTCAACTCACCCTACACAGTAAGCCGAAATCCCCAGATTCAAGGTGGCTTCAGTTACAAGGCCTTTATTTCCACACCCAGCAGACTAATGGGAGGCAGGCAGTTCCCTTGGAAGTCTGACTTGGAAGCTGGACAAATCCATCGAGAGTCACATGAGGCCAACAAGGTCCCTGAAAAAGGGTAAACCATCCCTGAGAGCCACAGAAAGGACCCAGCTGAGGTCCTCCTAGCCAATGCTGGGTCACACCCACGCCCTCACTAGTCAGGAAGGAGACGAGGCCCATCAACAGGCCCAGGCTGCTCATGGGTCCCTCCAGGGACTGGAACGAGCACAGGTGACGAGTCCCTCCCAGCTGGCAGAGTGGTGAGATGGCTTCTGTCATGGGCCCTGCCAGCGAGAGAACTCTGGCAAGGGCCCCGGGGCAGGTGAGAGCACCCGAAAGCTCCCCACACACCTAGCACTCATCAGGAATATCCCGTTTGACCCTACGAAGCTCTACTTCCAGCTAAGGGCATCCTCACAGAGGCTCCCTCATCTCGTCTCTGGCACGCGTCCTGTTCCGCTGAACGGGGAGAGAGCACGTTCCCTGCACACTTAAGGCATTTCCCCAGCATGAACTTCGTGATGCTTTACGAGGTGAGGCCCTTGACTGAAGGTTTTCTCACATCGGCTGCACTCATAGGCCTCTCTACCGCGAACTCTGCTGCTAAATGAAGAAGCCTCTTGGGTGGAAGGCCTTCCCCCATCTCTGCATCCATGAGGTCTTCCTCGAGGGTGAACCTGCGAGGGGTGAATGGGGTTGGACCTGCAGCTTAACGCTTTTTCACACTGGACATACTCAACAGACTTCCATGCAGCACAAGACTGACGTTTTGGCAGGAGGTTTTCCCACGTTTGCTGCACTCCTAACACTTTTCTGGGCGGTGAACTTCCAGTGTAATCAGAGCACACCTTTGGCAAAACGCTTTCATTCAAAGGGACTTTCTCTGGTATAAACTTTCTGAGGCCGATTGAGCTTAGAGATGTCGCTAAAGGTTCTCTGATGTTACTGCACTCATTAGGCTTTTTTTTGGGGCGGGGGAGGGCGGGGGCGGTGCTGCGCCCTTTGGCTTGCGGGGATCTTAGTTCCCCGACCAGGGATCGAACCCGTGCCCCCTGCAGTGGAAGTGCGGAGTCCTAACCACCGGACCGCCAGGGAAGTCCCAGGCCTTTCTGCTGTGAACCTGGTGCCAAACAAGAGCGTATCCTTCGCTGAATGCATCCTTCCCACGGCGGCTGCACTCATAAGGCTCTTCTCCAGCGTGGATTCTCCGCCGTTGAAAGAGGCGGGGGTTACCTGCACTCAGACCTGCCCCGGTGTGGCAGCCGTAGGCTCCCTCCCACTTGCCGTACAGTCCGGGGTGAGCGGCCTCCCAGCCTGCGGCGCTCCTGCCGGCCTTCCCCGTCCTGGTGCTGGAGGAGGCCGGCGCTGGACCCGTCCTCCCCGCACACTAAGGGCTTCTCTGACACGTGGATCCACAGTGCCCCGCCACGAGGCCCTACCCTGCCCGCCTCTGCGGGGTTTCTCTCGGCTGGGCTGCTTTGGGGCCGGGAGCGCTGAGGCCGAAGCCTCTCCCCCACGCCTCCTCACTGCAGCTTCTGCCCGCGGCGGCTCCCCGGTGCTCAGCCAGGAGCAACTCGTCTTTCCAGCCTGGGCCACACATCTCAGGGAACGCGCCCAAGCAGACAGACCTGCGAGGGGCGTGCTGATCTGAGATGCGCTTACAAAAGCGCCCCGCTCGGCCGGTGCCTCCCGCTCTACGCCACACCGACCACCCGGGGCCGCAGGTGCCAAGTTCCCCCACGTCCAACCTCCACGCAGCAGGCGCCGGGCCACTCCTCCTGGGAGAAGCACAGGCCACATCCTCCGAGACCACGCGGCCCTGCCGCCAGGGGAGCCCCAGCCGAGAATCCTCCAGGACCACCCCACTCAGCTCTCAGGTCCTTCGGGCGAGGGCCTACCCCCGAGCCGACGGGATCCCAGGAGGACGGCTCCGGAAGTCCGGCCCCCACCTCGTCCACACGTACAGGAACGCCCCACCCCCCGGGTCCTCATTGGCCCTCCACGTCGTGACGTACATCACAACGGGCGCTGAGAAATGGCGTTCCCACGTGGGGCGGGGCTTCACCTCCTCTTAAAGGAGACGCGCCAAGATTTCCGCGTCAAGTACTCAAATGCCACTTACTTTCGGGCGGTAGCTGCCCCCGCGGCTGTCCGAGTACTTCCATAAATTAGGTAAATTCTATTTTCTAGGAATGTGTCCATTTCCTCTAAATTTTCACATTTACTATCGTAAAGTTGTTTATAATATACCCTTATCTTTTTATATGACCTATAAAATTGCCCTTTTAAATTTTTAAGTGACTTGTATGTCCTTTTTGTCTTGATTAGTCTCTCTGGAGGTGTGTCCATTTTTTCCTTAGAAAGCAGCAGCTTTGGGCTTTGCTGCTGCCCTCTGTTGGTTGTAATGAATTCTGCTCTTTTTTAGCTTTCACCCACACACACTTCCCCACCCTCCATCCCCCCAATAGCGTTTATGGTAGTAGGTGCATGTTATTAGGACTGTGTAAATACTAGTCACAGCTGAGGCATCTAGTATTACCGTGGTAACTTTTTCTTTCTTGCCCAACCTTTTGTTTTCCTTGGAGTTATGTCCCTTGGTTTCCTAGGTACTTGTCAATAAATCAATCCCAACTCCTATCTAAACATGTTCAGAGACAACAGTTATTCTAATAATTAAGGCATCTTCTCTGGGGCCTCAGCCCCTCACAGCTAGTCTCGATCGGGTGCCTTCTGTGCCTGATGCACAGCTGTCGTCCTCAAGGCTTTCACTGTGTTCCTGGGAGTCACCTTGCCTCTTTGCGTTGGATCCACATTTCCTGAATACCAGGTTTTCCCCTTTCTTCGTTTACCCCTTTGTTCTGGAAGAGTACATCCTCTAATAGTTTCTTAAGAAAGGGTGTGTGGAACATACATTTTTAAAGAAACTACAGGTCTTTTTAGCATGACTTTTATATGCATTTCCTTCAGAATTCTGAAAGGTCCCAATTCCTCTGTTATCCAATGTGACATTTGAGGATTCCAAAGCTATTTTGATTCCTGATACTTTGTATGTGTCCTGTTTATCCGCTCCAGAAGTTATAGAATCTTTTCTCCCCAGCACTCTGAAATTCCACAGTGATGTGCCCTGGCTGGTCACCAGCCGTGGTTAGTACTTGGCCAGTCCTTGTAATTTGGAAACATAGCCTTCATTCTCAGAATTTTCTTGAATTATTTACTGGAATCCACTGTTAGAAGTGTGTGATTTTCCTTAGCCACATTCAGTATTGGCATCTTTAGGTGTTTCCTTTCAGGCTGGTGAGATCTCTCAAGAAGTCTCTTTCTCCTTTATTTCCTGCCTGGAGGATACAGCCTGTTTCCTGAGCTGAGGATTTTACATACTGAAGGCCGATGTCTCGCCTCCCTCAGTCTCCCGCCGGGCTGGGGCAGGAACAACTGCTCAACTGTGTGGAGTGGAGAGTTGTAACTGCTTCTGAACTGCCAGCCCTCCTGCTTTCACTCTTTCACAACCACTTCTAGAGGCACCTGGAACTGCCAATCCCAGAGCCTCTGGGAGCTTTGCAATAAAATCAGATTCTCAGATGCTCTCATTTCTTTTTTACAACGTTGTCTCCTCGGGTATTTCTAAGTCAGTTACCATTCATCTGTTTTCTTGAGAGGTTCCAAAATTTTGTTGCTATTTATAGTCATCCTAGTGGATTTATGCCTTTTAAAAAAATTAAAACTCCCTGTAACTTTAATGGGATTTCAGGAAGGAGCTATGGTAAATGGCCACATCGAGCTGTAAGAAGTCTGGGAAATGAAGACCTATTCAGAGAATTCAAGTCTCCAGCTAGAACTGTGGGTCTGTCATCACAGATGGAGACAATGAAGGAAAACCAGCAATCTCTGCCACACAGATGCAGCTGGTTTTGAGGTAGACTGAAAGTGAGGCCATCTTTCAGTAGAGCAGGAGAAGTGTACATATGGGGGTAGGGGGTTGGGCATCGGTGTGAGGAACAAAGAAAACATCTGAAACAGCAAACAGAGAGACATGCCAGGGAGTCACTGAGAGATGAATAAATGCTTTATTTAGTTCATTCATTCCCAAAGCTTCACACCTCACCATCCCACTTTCAAACTAAGTCACAAAGACAGGGGCCCGCAGTCTCCACCACCTCCCCACCCGACAGAGCACTGTAGGGACAGTGTCACCCTGATTGAAAGCCATGTGTTTCACACACTTTTAGGAGCACACTCTCTTCAAACTAGAAACCCCACCAAGTAAAACAGGCTCATCCATCAGTTTAAACCTGGGCAACATTTTGGGTGCCTCCCTAGAGCACCAGGGTCCCCCAGAGCAGTTTAAAACTCCTGTGTTAGCTAAGCCCTTCTCTGCGAATTAGGAACTCTCCAGAGAGCCAGCTTCTTCTACCGGAAGTTCATGTACAAATATTTCACATGGTCAATTCTTCTATCCAATGAGATAAACAGTGCACTAAATTAAGGCACTGGGGGGAATTAAAGGGGAATAAAGCATTTACTAAAGTTACAATAACACATCAAAGATGTCCATTGTATTTCTGAAAGCTCTTAACCAGGCACAAGTGCAAAGAACAGTCATGGTCCCAGCTGCTGCGGGCAAGCACGCAGTCATGACCAGAGGAGGAAGGAGAAGCTGAGGGCTGACGGTCAGCATTCCCCTTCAGCACGCGTGCAGGCACACGGGCCCCAGCGCGTGTCACACCTCACGTGCCCGACACCAGACAGAAGCAGCGGGAGCTGTGCAAACACGCGGGGCGGAGCAGGGGCACTGCTGGCTAAATCACAGCAGCAAACTGATGTTATACACAGGAGAGCCGTGCCCACAAATACCACACTAAACTGCATGGGTGCACACGCATACGTCACTTGGGAGAGATCTGGAATCCAAGCAACTTAAAAAAGAAAAGCTCCCCGTGCATTCCAGACACTGAACGATTACAAGTTAAGGCAACAGAAGTCACCCTTCCCCCCGCCTCTCTTTTCCATCAGACTATCTTCCTAGAATTTATAGCATATATTCCGCACGTCACTGCACTTCAAACTCTGCACGTCCCCCCCGTGGAATTCTCCTAGGACATGATCCCACTAACCACTCATGTGTGCACATCAGTTATTTTATTCCACATCAAGAGAGTCAGGCTGGGGGCGGGGGATGAGGAGGGAAGTGAGGCATAAGCAAGCGAGGAGAGAGAGGTCATGGGGCCAGATGAGGCACTTCCAAGCTGGCGGGGAATCCAGACCACTCGGGACTGGCCGCTGAGTGGCAGGCGGCTGAGAGGGGCACAAGCAGAAGCCGGCAGCCCCGGCGCCAGAAGGCTCACCACCAGCGCCAGCGCCAGCGCTCGGGGATGCCTCAGGTGCCCAGGCCTGAGGTCAGGGGCAGCCTCGCTGAGGAGACCACACGAACCTCCCGGGAGTGTCTCTTAGGGGATTCGGGAAGGCCAGAGGCCCATCACCCCAGGGTCGTTGCTCTGCCGTGGGCAGGACACAAGCACGCACTTCCTAACAGCTCACACAGTGATCTCAGGGCTTGTTCTTGGACTACCAGGCAGAGCAGACGCTGGGCTCTCCTTCAACCACATACAGGCTGTTTCAAGACTCCGAGAGAAATTCCTCGGCACGTAAACATATACGGTAGCGAGACTGCGGGTCCCCGACGCTGGATTTCAGAGACAGGCAAACTCAATGAGAAATTCTGTGCTTTGACAAAAGGGCAGCTGACGTTTTATTCTGCAACCAAGAGCATTTTAAAATGAAAATATTGCCCTCTAGTATCACCTTCATTATATAAGAGGACATTTTATCACCCAAATTAGGAAGGACGTAATCTTAGAATACAAGACAACCCTTTAAATTGAATGAACTTGACTTCCTATATCATTTAACATGTGTCCTTGTACTTCGACCTGCACAGGAGGCCTATGCCGTGGGCGCCGTGACTCTTGCTGCACCCTGGGGCACAAGCCCAGCCGACCACCAAGATCACAGGCTGTCCCAGCACCATCATGGCCTCGAAGACCCATCCACTGAGAAGAGGGACCACACTCACAAGGACAGCAGTGTACACGTCGCAGGCATGGCTTAAGTGCAAAGTGCTTTCACATACATTCTCTCACGTGCCCTCCGAAAAGCTCCATGGGAAAGGCACGGCCAGACCCGGCCCGTGTAAGAGAGCAGCCTCCCTGGGAACAGGACCTGCTCAAGGCCAGGCAGGAGGCAGCAAGCACAGGAGAGCGCTTCTCTCTAGGGCTGATTTTCCTTTGCTCAGCCTGACCTTGGCTGCAAGTTCCTCTCTTTCTATTTACGCGTGAACCTTTTATTTGGAGAATCAATTCATGGAAGCAAGAGGAAAAAATTAAAATGATGGCACTCAGGCCTGATAACAGAAACATATTCAACATCAGGAAACTGCTAATTGTCCTTTCCTTTTTTAAAACCTGTTTAACAACAAGCGCATGTTGACTACAACTTATCAAATGTCAAAAGAGAACATCAAAAAATAAGCATCACTGCCTTAAACCCTTTTCTGGAACAAGGTAGGGCATACATAAGTAAATAAATACATAAATAGCATAAGTAATATGAAAAGGCACAGATATGTATGACACTGATGGTTCTGGAAATACATGCAGAAACGCCACCCAGGATGCCACAGCTGAATTCTCAGAGGTTCTCAGAGGTGTCAGCGCTGCCTCCACCACACCCCGCCCGCCCCCCGCCCATCTGCAGCAGCCAAGGCCCGGGCACAGGACTCCGTTCAGTGGCCGGCAGGCGCCCCAGCAGGGACAACAGCAGGACACTGCCGGGACCAGGCTGGGGGGACCTCGGGCTCCTTCCCATTGGTGCATCATGCCCCTCCCTGCGGAGGGCTCTGGGGCCGCAGCCTCATCAAGTACCACCACATTTCCTGGCTATGTGGGGCTGGGGCCCCAGGGCTCAGAAACATGATTTTGTAAAGTGCTCTGATGGAGAGGGTGACTCTTGCCTATTCTGGATCCTACCCCTGCCAGCAAAAGAGAAAGGGAGCTTTAGCAAAGCGCCACTCAAAACAAGCAGGAATGGCCTTAAGCAGCTATCTACGTTATGTTCAGATTCAGGTGTGGCAGCTGTGAAATGTCAAACTAGAGCCTGAACCTCGAAGTTGCTGGGATTGTGAAAAAATCTCTAAAAGTTGGCTGCACAAAGAGAAAGCCAACCTGTCTCTGCAAAGGAAGAGCTGAGGCCCTGGCCCCTGAGGACTGGCCCTGAGCACACCATGCTCGGGGGCCCCACTCCCCAGCTCAACCTCTCCCCAGTCCCACTGCCTCCCCGGCCAGCTCTGGGCCAGGCCCAACAATGAGCGTCGACTCAGTCCACTCCTTCCAGAGAGATCCCAGAAAAAATGGTTCCAACCCCCAGAAGCAAGCCCTGCACTCACTTCACCGGCAAAGGAGGCTGACGCCCACTCCGCTGGTGCAGCCCCAAGGTCACACCGGCATGGCTGGGACCCCCGCACTGGCAGCATTCCCAGATGCGGCTTTCCAGAAGGTCTGAGAACAGAGACACCCTCCTACCCAGGGCCGGGCTGGGGAGGCTCTGTCCCTAACAGACCCCTGAAGAAAACACCAAACACCAGGGCAAACTCAGAATGTCCTGCAAGCCTGCAGCAAGGCTCACCCGCAGGGACCCCGAGCCAAAGGGCAGCTGTAAGAGCTTAAAAGTAAGGGGAGGGGCTTCCCTGGTGGCGCAGTGGTTGAGAATCTGCCTGCTAATGCAGGGGACAGGGGTTCGAGCCCTGGTCTGGGAGGATCCCACATGCCGCGGAGAGGCTAGGCCCGTGAGCCACAACTACTGAGCCTGCGCGTCTGGAGCCTGTGCTCCGCAACAAGAGAGGCCGCGATAGTGAGAGGCCCGCGCACCGCGATGAAGAGTGGCCCCCGCTTGCCACAACTAGAGATAGTCCTCACACAGAAATGAAGACCCAACACAGCAAAAATAAATAAATTAATTAATAAACTCCTACCCCCAACATCTTCTTAAAAAAAAAAAAAGTAAGGAGAGCTAACCACTCCTGATACACCTCTCTCAGCCCGACCACGGAGGTGACAAGCCAGCGTTGACACACCCCCAGTGACACGAAGCCCCCTCCAGCGGCCCAGCCCACCTCTGGGTGGCTCGAGCTTCCACACAACCCTTCCCTAAGTGCAGGCAGAGCCCCAGCTCCCCGCAGCTCCTGGCCCAGCCGCAGCCCAGCTCGGGTGTGGTCCCACCACACGTGCCACAGGAACGCAGCTGATCCCCGGCCCGGGCTGAAGCCCTGCAGCACTCAGCTCCGGCTGCAAAGGGCCCCATCGGCCGCCCGCCCGCAGCTCCTCTCCTCTCAGGAAGCCTCCCCTGACTCCGAGCTCTGAATGCGACCAGCCAAGCAGGCTCCCCGTCCTGAGGAGCAGCACACAGCCCGGGCTCGGGCCTCAGACGCCATCCAACACTTATGCCTTGGCCACCACTTGTAATGAGGTGAAGCCTCCAGCGGCTACGTTGGCCCCCCCAAATAATCGACGGCCCCCCCTCAGACCTCATACGTACATATATGGGCCAGCCTGGCTTTCCAACACACATCCATCCATGACACAGGAGGTGGCGTTCAGAATTCCATCCTCAAGCCACAGAAGACAATGGCCAGACACTGCCTGTCTGGTCGGTGAAGACACATAATGACGCTAATAATTAAATAAACCCCTATCATTAGTTCAATTGTTACAAATTAGATTTCTCTTATTGCAGAAAATCCAAACTCAGATTTGAAATCTGCCCGTTTCTAAACACTTCTAAAGGTCAGAATCACCATAGATCCACACAATGGCCCTGAGGCCTCAAATTACCAGATGTGATTTCCCTGGAAACAGCAGCACCTGGATGCTCCAAAGAGGCAGCCTCTGGCCCACCTGTGCCGACATGGCCACACACCTGGCCACGCAGCCCAGGTGTGAGTGAGCCCTGCCCACAGCCGAGCCGTCCGTCAGGTGACAAGCCAGCTCATTCCTCTCACTTCTCACCACCCCCAGCAGGCCAGGGGAAGCCCTCTGACCTCACTGCTATCCCCTTTCTTCGGTTCTAGGAGCAACTACCAAGACATTAGGTCCAGAAAAGTGAAGATCAATCAACCAAAGAGCAGATGTTTTGTCCACTGAACACAAAGCAACTGAAAGCTTAGAACCATCCAGAAGATGACTAAAGTTTGCACTTTCTGGTATGTGCAGGGACGAGAAGACAGCGCCGCAGGCATCTTCCTCTTTTAGAACTGGCAGTGAATGCTGTTGGACAGTCCTTGGTCCGAATGTAGGCAGTCAATTACTGGCTATTTCAGCGTTGGCCTCCTAAAATCAATCAACTGTCTGGAAGCTCCCCAAAGTGAAATGGCAGAGAACTCATGAGACCTGTTGGCATGATGCTAGGCACAGGTAGGTATCAGACAGGTGCAGCACTGCAGAACTCTGAGCGTTACCTAAAGAGGCTGTGAACAAATGCAAGTATTGACTTTGAGGCAGTAAAGCCCATCCATGTGGCCAGGAAACCATCCTTGAATGAAGACAATTAACATGGCGCCTCCGCCACAAGGAGAGAACAGTGAAGCGGCAAGGAAACAGGGTGCGCATGATAAATGTCACACGTCTACCCCAGCAGCAGGTGAAACAAACTAGTGAGTTCAGGAAGTGCATCTCTGTACTTTTATAGCAAGACTCCTTTTCATTTCGCGTTAATCAAGCTGAGAGGCAAACACAGCAGCACAGCCCTGCACGGTGCTAGTTCCCCCTCCTGGGGAAGTCAGCAGGCCTCCAAGCTCAGCCCGAACTTGCTCACATTTCGAGGCCCATTTCATTAATTTCCAAAACACAGACACTGAGGAAGAACAAAATTAATTTTGCACGAGCCTTTCGGCTGATACCGACCTAAGGACTGTCCGGCGCCCCAAGCACCTGAGATGGGATACAATCCATGAGGACGAGGCTGATTCCGCTTCACCAACAGCCAGGTGGGATCTAGTCAGCAGCACAGGACGTGGTCACAGGGGCAAGAACCGGTGTCGACTGGCTCTGGAGACTGCTTCCTCCTCGCTGCAGTCAGCCGCCGCTCGTGAGTTCTGCTCATACAGCAGGAACTTTTTTATGGGGTCTGGCAGAGGCAGCGAGGGAATCAGATGGAGTCGGTATTTGCCAAGCGCTCTTCTCACGGCCACGCGGCACAGATTGAGCAAGGTCCTAGGGACACCTGGAACGCGTGGGAAGAAAGGGAGAGACAGAGGGAGAGGTTAAATGCCTCTCCTAACCCTACAGACCAAAGGCTGGCTGTGAGGGCAAGCGGAGCTGCGCCAACGCTCGCTGCCACTTCCCACCTCCAGAGGAGAGCAGGCCCTGGTGAGAAAGGTCTTGTTATCTGCTCAACTCTGCGGAACTCCCTAGACAGAGAAACAGAGCTGGCCACTGCACGCCCCAGCAGGTGTGACAAACTGCCCTCTGCCCTCTGTCAGTCTCTGCTCTTGGTCCCTCCCAGAAGCTCCAAGGGGGTCTGAAGGGGACGGGCCGAGCAACACAGGAGGAGGGCAGGCTGACAATTTTGCTCTGGTCGAAACAGCCTCGCCGTGTCTCTGCCTGTGCAACAGGCCTGAACACAGGGAGCCTAACTCTGTCAGCGTGGCTCCAACTGACCAGCCAGCAACTCTTTTGGGGAAGCCTCAACAGGACCATGCTTTAATGACTGGTTTAAGGAAAGCCAGTAACAAGAACACAACAAACATAAGTTCTGCGAGAGCCAAGGGACTGGGGAAAAGGTGGTCACTCAGATACCCTCAAGACCCAGACGGGAAAGGGGCAGGGTGTGGGCAGGTCAGAGGGCGCACAGGGTCAACTTCTGAGTCCTGGAGAGAGAACGACAACAAGTACCAAGCCACGGATCAACTGCAAACTCCCTGGCCATCAACTTAATTCACTGGCAAAATCCTTCTTCATGAATAAGCAAACTGTACGCCTCATTCTAACAAAAATCATACTTAGCACACAATGCAGAACAATGGTATTTGAGTGGAACCGAAGAAGGGGACGTGAGGCGCCCTAGAGAAGGAAGGGCTTGCGATTTGTTGTAAAGCAAACACTTAAAAGCCATAAACAGCAGTGAAAGAATCTGGGATCACAAAGCAGCGCGAAGGGGTAAAGAGAACATAATTCTAGGAGCTCTGAGAACATGCACTTTGATAGGTTTCTTGGTATTAAATCTTAGTGTCTGGGAATTTAAAGAGAGAAGACCAATCTGGAAGACCGTTCTGGAAAATTCCTAGTCCTCGCTGAAGGCGGGGACCGAGTGCTTAGCTGGAGGTTGTTTTTTTTTTAAATTGCTACAACTTGGTTCATTCAATTGACTTGAAGAGACTGCCAGTCAGAGTTCAACTAAGGCCACTTACTTCTGGCCTCTTTAAAGACCTGCAGAGCCTCAGGGTCTACCTTCCTTCTGCCTCTCGACTCCGGGCCCAAGGATTCCCACTTCACCAGGTTCAGGTTGGCGCCGAACTCCACAAGCAGGCTAACGAAGGCCGCCTCACAGCCGTGACGCAGGACGGCATCCATGACGCACCCGGGGGAGCCCCTGTAGAAGCCCTGCGTATTGACGGGACCATTGCAGTTGAAGTCCGGGTTTGCCCCAGCCTGCAGGAGCAGCTTGAAGCACTGGAGGTTGTGGTAGGCTGCGCTGATGTACAGGGGGCAGACCACCAAGGAGGTGAGCCGCCGGGAGAAAGGCGGCTGGACGTCAGGAGTCAGGTGGTGGTTGACATCGACATCGGCCCCGTACCTGCAGGGTAGACACACGGACAGTGAGACCTCACAGCAGGCCAACCGCAGTCAACGCATCCCCACGGCACCCGGTGGAGATGGGCCCGAACTCCAGGAGCGCTGGGAGCACCGGAGAGCCCCCCAGTCACAGTGGTCCCGTGACCACCAGCAGGTACCACGGTAGTTAGGAACCTTGGAATCCACTCACGCAAAAGAACTCGTAAGGGAGTTCTTTCAAACCTTTGAAGATCCAACAATCCCATGGCTATTTTAACTATTTCAAAGCAAAGAAAAAGAAGGAAAACTTCCAAATTCAGCTTATGAAATTAACAAAACAATAATCTCCAAACCTGACAAAGGCCTCACCATAAAGAAAAACTACCAACTAACTGCCCTTACGAATATCAACTTAACAACATCCAATAAAATGTTAGCAAAGAGAATCTAAAAACATTAAGAAAACAACATACAATGACCTCATGGGGGTTATTCCAGGGGGTAGTTCTTAAATTAGAAACTCTATTAACATAATCCATCATATTCATAGAACTAAGGGGAAAATCCATGATTATCTCCATAGATGCAAAAAAAAAGGCATATAACAAAACTCAACACTTAAGCATGTTTGCAAATACTTAATAAAAAAGAAAGTAAGGGATATTTCCTTAACATGATAAAAAATATTTCCTCAACCCAGAAGTCAGCCTCTCGCCTAGCAGGGAAACACAAGCAGCAGCTCTGCCGGGAGCAAGGTACACAGCCCCACTTTCCAGCCCACTCGTTTTAAAGACTCTTTTTTTTTTTTTAAGTACTAGTGCAATTAGACAAGAGAAAGCAATTAGCTGACTAAAATTGGAAAGGAAGAGGTAAAACTTTCCCTATTTACAGAGAATATAACTGTCTGGAAAGCCTTAAATAATTAATGAAAATGCAGTTAACAAGCAATGAGAGAATTTATTAAAGTAGCAAGTTTTAAACCAACAGCCTTTTATATACAAACAAAAACAAGTTGAAAGATAAAATGAAAAAGACCTCATTTCTGATAGCAAAATAAATTTTAAAGTGAGATATCTAAGCATAAACTTAACAGTATATGTCCAAAATTTGCATGAGTAAAATTATAAACTACTACTGAAAGTCACATAAGTAGACCTAAGGAAATAGAAAGACATACCGTAGTCTTAGACAAGAAGACTCTATATCATTAAGATGTCATTTTCCCTAAGTTTATTATATAAATGAAAATACCCTCCACAGAACTAAATAAGTTGACTATAAATATAAATACATAAAAATAACATCCCTGGAGCTACATAAGTTGATTATAAAGTTGATTTGGAAGATCAGGAAAAGATATAAAAACAAAGCTTTTTTAACATAAGTAAAGTAAAACAATAAGTTACAAATTGGGGGAAATGTTACATCCTTAATATATAAAGACCTTCTAAAAGGAAAAGATCAACAGCTCTACAGATAAATGAGCCAGAGATGGATACAGACACGTGCAAACAGCTCTCAACCAGATGAAAAGATGCTCAGCCTCACTCATAACAGAAATGCAAATTAAAACTACTCGGAGACACCACTTCTCACCTATCAGATTGGGGAAAATCCAAAAACTTATTGAACGAGCTTTAAAGAAAAAGGAAGTCTTATTCATCGCTGGGGGCCAGGCATAATGCAGCAATCCCTGCAGAGGGAAATCTGGTGATAGCTGGCAAACTTACCTATGCATGTACCCTCTGACGCACCAATCACAACTCCTGGAATCTAGTCCCAAGACACATTTGCAAAACTCTGAAAAGATGGCGTACACAAGGCAATTCATTAAAACAGCACCCGTAATAGCCAAAGGCAGGAAACGAGCCACAGGTTCGTCAAGAGGGCCTGGCCCATCCACATAAAGGAGCACTGTACCACCTGAAAAGGAATGAGGACCAGGGCTAAGGACTGCTCTGCAGTGACCTCCAGGACACCCTGATAAGTGAGAAAAGCAGGACGATGAACGTGAAGTATGCCACTGTTTATCCTGGGGAGGAGGCTGCAATACCAATGTGCACATGATACACACCTAGACACATACCTGCCTAATTTTTAATGATGGAAGGATAAACCACACAACTTTTTAAATGGTTAGCTATAGGGCAGGGATGAAGCAGATGAGCACAGAAGCTAGACTGCTTTTAATATACTTTGTTTTATAGATTTGACTTTGGAACCATGTAAATAAATACTATAAAAAATTAGGGGTTTCCCTGGTGGCGCAGTGGTTGAGAGTCCGCCTGCCGATGCAGGGGACACGGGTTCGGGCCCCGGTCCGGGAAGATCCCGCATGCCGCGGAGCGGCTGGGCCCGTGAGCCATGGCCGCTGAGCCTGCGCGTCCGGAGCCTGTGCTCCGCAACGGGAGAGGCCACGACAGTGAGAGGGCTGCATACGGGGGAAAAAAAAAAAAAAAAAAAAAAAAAAAAATTAAACAGCAATCCTTAGAAACTGCAAAGCAGAAAGAAATACTTTACCGCAACCGTGTACCCAGTTGGTGCCATTGCGTGCTGCCCGCCAGGGCGGCTCTTCCCTTCAGGCACTGAGCCTCCAGAGGAGCCAGCCCATTCCCAGCAGAGTCACCTAGAAGGACCCAGGACAGGATGCACAGCAAGGCAGCCTCGCGCAGCCGCCAGAGGTGGGAGCGCTGATGACAGTCCCTGAGCTGATCTGTATGGCTGCCCGGGAGCTCTCCTCTTCTGACTCCCAGAGACAGCCCAGATGTGAGGATGAATCTCACACAGGCCGACGCAGGGGCCGCCTGACCCGGAAGCCTCCTTTTCCAGCAGAGCCAATCTCTAAACGACTCTACAGGCAGAGCCTTCAGGATCCCCTCAAGGGACCTGCCCTTGTCCTTGCACCCAAGGACGCCCAAATACATGGCTTTCTATGGGACATTTAGGGTTCTCCCAGGCCAAGCACAAACTACCAACTGGGTCATTTTACACTAAGCGGGGGCCGCTGACTACAGCAGGGAGGGCGGCCTGCTCAAGCTGTTGGAGTCCTGGCCGAGTGAAGAGGGTGCTTCTAAGGATGCTGCCTTGCAACGGTGCTACAGCCCGCGGCGGGGGAGGAGGCATGTGTGGGAGGGGCAGCAGCATAGGAGACTGGTTCAATATGGGGGATTGGCAAAGTAAGTTAACATGTTAAAGGTAAGGGAACCAGGTCTCTCAATGTTGCAAAAGAATAATAAATTTGGAAAGGGAGAAAAGTAGGATGAACCCTGTGGTGCTGGATTGGATTAGAGGCATCAGGGTGAACTCTTCAACTGTCAATGTATAAGAGATACAGAAATGTAGACAGAAACATGTTTAAGTAACCTTAGCTCTGTCCAGTAGGAGAAGCTGAAAACAGTGACACCCCATAAGCAATAAGCACTCCTAGTGTCCACACCTTGGCTTTTAAATAGCATTCACCACAGAAAGAACCCAGGATTCCTTGGAGAAATAACTAATTCCAGGGGTGAACCAGGCAAAGTACACAAGAGCCTAGAATAATTGTAACTCCACAGGAAACCATGAGTCTAACATAAATAAATGAATAAATTAAAAATCTGATGAGGAACAGGATATATACATGGTTCCAAAGTCCCGAGCCACAAAAATATTTTTTAATCACTGAGGGAAAAAGAGGAGCTTTACAATGGAAAAAGCTGGCAGACGCCACCTTAACCAGAAGATGAAAGTGAACATCAGCAGTATTGGGACCAACTGAAACATGTGCAGCCTGAGAGGATGTAATGAGAAGAGCACAGCCCCACTTCCATGAGACTGCTACCCAAAAGGCGTTACCCACCTCTTCCGTGAGGAAACATTAGCCAGCACCCGTGTACTTGAGCTTCCACTGCCCTAGACAGTGCTGCAATGCCTCACAAATTTTGTCATCACATATTTCATCTGAATTAGGAAATGACAAAATGTAGGCAGTAATGATGATGGGGCCTGACATGCAGGGGCCCGGGCGGAGGGGAGAGCATCGTTTTCCATGCCTTAATAGAAATAGCTGGCCAACACTCACAGCCAGCAATCATGTTTTATCACCCGTCTCTTCAGCACTATTGCAAGCATCCGAAGGAACTTGCCCCTAGAAGCGACACTGCTGCCTGTCAGCAGCACAGAGCTGAGGAAGACAAAGGACAGCACACAGCCCAATGAGCTCACATGACAACCTGCTTCCCCACTGACGCCATGCAGCATCGTCAGCCACTACAAATGCAAGTATCACCCAATGTTCTCCAAGATATCCTAGGAGTGACAAGAGAAACATTCTAAAACACATACCAAACCAAGCAGAAGCCGATATTTCATTTCACACACTCAATCAATTAAGAGAACTAGATTTCAAGCAGTGACATTGTTTTGCCTCCTTATTCTTACGGATATGTCTTCTAGAATGTTTGTAATTTGGGGCAATATGACAATCTGGTATTAGCTGAGCTGTGGGAAAGACAGTCCTTCATCCACTCATAAAAATATAATGGATGGGATCCAGTTAATTTTAATCCTGAATATTTTCCAAAATTCCCCTACTGCTTTTAGTATCACTGGCAAGGAACCACCGGGACGACTCAATAAATCAGTATAACTTTTGTACATACATAAATACCACTCCTTACCTTTTTAAAAAAACATCAGTAATATATATCAAGGGAAATAAGAAGTAACAAAATGGAGGTTACTTGCAGAGGGACACCAAATCACAACAGTGACAGAAGAGAGCCCTGCCTATGAGGGACAATGACACAGGGAAGAGGCAGGAGTTGCGTTTAGATTGTATTAGCTGTTCAGTAACTTAACCCCATTTTCCAAAAGTCAATTATCTGGTAATTTAGAATCCAGAAAACTTTTCAACAGAATAATATATGCTCTTGGTACTTCACTGTAAAAGTAATGTCCTGTACTCCAGCGGGGCAGCAAAATGTCTTAGTAACGTTTCCTCAAGAAGGGCACCTGTAAATATCTCTGAAAGTCAAGCCTGCGGTTAATTCAAAGCAGTTGCGCATCATGAATTGACTGAAATGCCCTATGGGATTTCTGGAACCAAGATGAAATTTCATGGATTGATCCTACTGAAAAACATTTCCAAATTAATGACTTACATTCTCCAAGATGCAAAGATACGGGACTGAGGTGATTTAGATTATCAGGCTAGAAATCCTTCAAAAGAAGGGGAAAAAAGCATCATCACGTCTTCATCACCCTCCAGTATAACCACCATACCATCCTCAATTATCTTTCCAAAACTCAATTCCATAGCCATTTAATATATAAATCCTTTTGATATAATAAATATATTCTCAGTATCTAATTTAAAAAACGATGTCCTGCACTGGGCGAGGGGGACGCCAGGTCCCTGCTCCTCAGAACACCCCCAGTGCAGCCCGTAATGATGCTGTAACCCTCTCCTGTAATACTTTCCCACACCGACAACGGGCTACCTGAACTGCACTCAGTCCAGCCACAGAACAAACAGCCTCCAGAGCCGGGGGGCGGTGGTGGGGGTGGGGGGGGCTGCTGGGCAGGGAAGCATCTTTAGTAGAAAGAAGTCACTGGAGACATGAGACTGAGACTGAAAATGCAATCTGGCTCAAATTTTTAAAAAGGTAACCGTTAGTACAATTAAAAGAAGACCAGAAACCGTCTAAAACCACAGAAAGGGAAAGCAAAGAAAACACAGATCATGGAAAAAAGATATAAAATAAAGGTACAGTTAAGACACAGAAAGACAACAGTAATAGACCTAACATCAGCTATGGCAACAATGTTAACTGTATTAAAAAACAAAGAATCCCTTTATCCTACAAAAGCTTCTTGCTTTTCACCCCATTTTGCAGTTCTCGGAGACTATCCACTTCCTGAAGTGTGAAATAAAAGTTCATTTGTATCACCTAAAAAAACAAAAGAATCCCAGACAGTCAAACAGTAAAAGTGAGCTCACAAAGAATTACTTAAACCCACTAAGATGAAAACTAAAAGTTACAGAATGCTACATAAATGAGCCCTCAATGAAACCAATGGTTTCCTTTTGGTTTGATAAAGGGCACAATCCATAAGCAAGAACGTTCATGAGCCCAATGAGCATCAAAATACGGTGAGCAAAATTATTGGAAATACAAGGGGAAACTGGCAAATCACAAGAGTAATTACAGACTAACAGACTTCTCTGAATTTGGGGAAGATCCAATGGTTAAAGATGTAAAAACAAAAGAGAGGAAGTCTGAATAACATAACTGAGGCTGTCACCTTGTACTACACAAATAAAACCCTGTGGTTATATACTTTGTTACAAGTATCCACAACAACGTAGTTGGACATTAAAAAATAACTTTAAAAAAGCCCAAAGAAGGGCTTCCCTGGTGGCGCAGTGGTTGAGAGTCCGCCTGCTGATGCAGGGGACACGGGTTTCTGCCCCAGTCCGGGAAGATCCCACATGCCACGGAGCGGCCGGCGTACTGCAAAAAAAAAAAAAAAAAAGAAAAAGAAAAAGAAAACAGCTTAGCAGACACAGCCAAAGCTATAGGCAAAGGTAAATTCATAACCTTGAAAGTTTACATTATTAATCAAGAAAAAAATGAATAAGCATGCAACTCAGAAAATTAGGGAAAATATTAAGTAAAATTAAGGAAAATGGGAAAAAATAAAGATAAAAACAGAAATTAATCAGTAAGTAAAAAAATAAGAGAACTGATAAAGCTAAGAAGCAGCTCTTTAGAAAGACTAACAAAATAGACAAATCCTCTAACAAGTCTAATTGGAGAGAGAGAGGAAAAAAAGGCAAATGCAGAAAACAAGAAATGAGAATGTGGCTGCGAGAACGTGCTGATGCGGCCACGCTCCCCGTGGTGGCCATCGCAAGGGCAATGGTGGCCCGGCCCCTGTGGTACTGACCTGATGAGGGCCTTCAGGATGTCTGCCCTGCCCACCCGGGAGGCGTGGTAGACAGGGGTGCTGCGGTGGTGCCGGCTTCCATTGGGGTCGGCGCCGGCTTCCAGAAGGATCTGGGCGCTCTCCAGGTGCCCGTTCACCACGGCCACGTACAGGGCCGTCTGTCCCTTCACGTCCACCAGGTCCACCTCAGCCCCCTTCCGGATCAGGAAGTCCACGCAGTTCCCGTGGCCTGCAGTGGCCGCAATGCGCAGTGGTGTGCAGGGCAGCCAGCCGCAGCACCACACAGACTTCTCGTTGATGCGGCTGAGAGAGAGCACAGGGAGCCAGGCTGGGAGGGGTGCTGGGAGACCGGCCAGCCGCTCCAGCTCCTCTCAGGTGGGATCCTGAGACAGGGAGCAGGAGGGCAGCCTTCGCTTTAATAGTGCTTCCAGGTGCTCGTTTCATGAAATGCTTTCACATAGCCGCCCTGCTGGGTCCACGCCTGAGGCAAGACAGGCAATAAATTAAGAGCCCAGTTCTACAGATGAGGAGATTCGAGGCGCAGGTAAGACTGCTGAGCACTAGAGTTAAGATCTCCAATTTCCTGACTCGCGTCCAAAGCTCTTTGCTCCACAAAGGGGAGAAGGGCCTGCCCAGGAGGCAGCGCAGGATGGAGGACAGCATACCTGCTCGGGACCTGGGTCAGGGCCCCGAGGCCCCTCTTCACCAGCTACTACCTGTGAAGGCCTGAGGCTGGACCGCTCTCTGGGCCTCGGTATCCTCACTGGGGCTAGGTGACCACTGTGGTCCCTCTACCTCTGACACAGCACAAAGGACAGCCTGCAGGAATCACCACACTCCTGGCCAGCAGCAGCAGAGGGAAACCGTCCAGGCTCAGCCCTCATTGCAAGTGACACTCAGACCACAACTCCCCATCAAGGGATGCCAGGGTCATGCAATGCATGGACCCATCATGTCACCAGCTGAGGCTCTTCACCTCAAGCTCCCAGCGCAGCTCTGAACAAAGCTGAGAAATACAGATCACTAAAGCAGTGACCCAGAAACATGCAACAGGTCAGGGTTCCTCCTTCAGCTGGTTACTAGCTTCCACTAGCCAAGGAGGCCAAGGAACGCTCCAAGGACTCATCACCGAAGAACTACATAGCAAGAGCAAAATATCGTCAAGAAACCAGATTCACTGAACCTGAGTGAAAGAAAGAAAAACGGTACTTGAAAAAGCAATATGAACATACTTGGTCTATTTTAGTAGCTTAACTCTATTCTACTGTTATATCTGCAAATTTAAGGTTTTCTTTGGACTTGAGTCATTCATGTTAAATATTCATGTGCAATCCACATCATTTCTCTTTATGACGATCCTTTCTGGCTCTTTGGAGCTTTTTTATTTTTAACATGAATATCTATTCTAACGAAATAATGCTAAGACGTTAGAAGGGAAAGAAGAGACACCTATTCTTGTATTGTTAGAAATCCTTCTCTTGGGAACTGCCCACGAAAAGTGGTATAAGTTTCAGTATCAATACACAGGCATTTCTTCTATCAACTCACTGGCATCCTAGCCCTGGAAGAAAAACAGAAACACAGAAAGAGCCTGAAGGATTTTCTGGTTGCAGGTGAGTTTCAAGTCTACCTGAGACTCCAATCTTAGACACAAGGAGAACAGGCAGTCTCTGTGCTCCCCGGGTGTCTCGAGTGGGGAAAAGTAACAGCAAGACTCTGATGCCATGAGGGGCTTGAGCCGGTCTGGAGGAGCTAGCAGGATGTGGCAAGGCAACAGGCAGGGCGCTACCAACAAAAGGAGCGTGTCCCTGGGTAATGAGACAGCTGGCCAGAGGCTGAGCCCCAGGCCCTGGAGGCAGATGACTGAGGCCCTGAGAAGCCAGAGGAGAGCGCGTCAGGAACTCTGTACAGGTTTGCTCCATCAGGAAGTCCGGACCCAAAGGGGGATAACGATGCAATAATTAAGGGAGGAGAATTTATGCATGCGCCTTAGGATAAAGAGCCAGAAGAGACTCGCAAGGGAGCAGGGCCGCTGTTGAAGACAGTAATGACGCTGTCGTCGAGGGTAACGTCAGGGAAGCTGACGCCCAGAAAGCACCAGAAGTTGCTGGAAAATATAAAGGTGACAGAACTGGACTTGAACTCGGGTCTCTCTGCCCTCGCCATCAGGCTGTCGCCTACAAGTCTGACCACGCTTCCAGCAGTCCCCTTTTATCCCACCCTCAGAAAGTGGAAACGCTCAGGGTCTCCACCTGCAAATCGGAGACCGCTGGGCCTCCCTCACAGCTCCCGAGCCTTAGCTGCATGCAGACCCACAGGCCAAACCCTGGGCAGCCCCGGGGCGGGCAGCAGCGCTCACCTCCGGTAGCTCTCCTCCTGCAGCAGGCTCCGGAGGGTCTGGAGGTCCCCCACATAGGCTGCATCGTGGAGCCTCGTGTCCTCACAGTGCTCCAGCGGATGGTCACAAAACTGCTCCCTCAGCCACTCCTTCAGATTCGGACCTGCACTGAAGAGAGGGGCGCCTGTCAGTTCAGGGAAGCCTTGCCAGCACCAACTGTGAGGGGCCGCCCTCGGCCGCCAGCCCTGCCTCTCCCCAACACGGGTGCTCTCTAACTCTCAAGAACACATCATTCCCCTGCTCCAGAAGCTTCCAGAGCCAGGAAAATGTAAAAAGTTTCCCTTAATGAAGCTAGCACACTCCTGACACCAAACCTGGCGAGGTTTTAAAACTTTGATGGGGTGGGTGATAGTAAGCCCAAACTAGTTAAGGATAAAGACCCTAAATAAAATATTAATAAAGTGAAATTTAAAATATGTATCCAAAAAGTCCCCATAAAATTACTCTAATGTATTCCAAGAATGTCTTAGTGTTGGGAAAAACCATATAATCAGCTGCTACGTTACAAAAGGACACCTGACTTTGGCATAACTCAACAGCCAGAAAAACACTGCTGCTTGTAAACCTGAATGACTCTGCCATGTGATCTGGGCAATGGCCTCGCCACGCGGGAGTCCCCGCGAGTGACAAATCTGACGTAACCTAAGATGGGTGTACTTTTCTGAATATAAGCTGCACCGCAGTAAAAAGGAAAATTTTTAAATACATGCATACAAATAGAAAGCCAGCCCTATATAATGAAGATAGAAAACAGAAAAACAATAAAGACTAGAATAAATGGTGAAAACCATACCGTGTACTTGAGTGAGAGTCAATGCTAGGAAAATTTTAAGTGATACCAAATAAATTAAGAGGTTAAACAAATCTCTTTGGGGTTTTTATATGAGATGTGACAAAAATCTTCTAGAAGTTTATTTGGAAATAAAAATAAGAATCACTTTTGGTTTTTTTTGTATGTATGAGAAGAGATCTATCCTACTAGATAATAGAAATTCTCTCTCATCAGAATAAAAAGATAAAGAAATCAAACAATCAACTGCCCAGAAAAGAGCTTAGTATAAAAAACTTGGTATGTGAGAAATGGGCAACAAAATCAGTGAGGAATGGGAGGAGTAGCTGCTATAAACTGAATGTCTGTGTCCCCCAAAATGTCCTGCCAAATAATATGCTGGGAGTCCTAACCCCCAAGGTGATTAGTAAGAGGCAGGACCTTTAGTAGGTAGGACCTTTCGGTCATGAGAGTGGAGCCCTCATGAATGGGATGAGTGCCCTTATAAAAGAGACCCTGGAGAGCTCCCTCACCCCCTCCACCACACGAGGACACAGTGAGAAGACAGCCGCCTAGGAACCAGGAAGCAGGCCCTCACCAGACATCCAACCTGCCAGTGCCTTAGTCTTGGACCTTCCAACCACCAGAGCTGTGAGAAATAAATTTCTGTTGTTTATAAGCCATCCAGTCTGTTCTGTTATTACATCCTGAATGGACTAGAACAAGTACCATTGATCACTGAACAACGCAGGTTTCATCTGCAGGGGTCCACTCACACGTAGATATTTCCAACAGTAAACAGCACAATACTGCACAGTCTGTGGTTGGTTGAATCCACAGATGCCTAGGAACCTCAGATGCAGAGGACCGACTAGAAGTTACATGCAGATCAACCCCCAAGTTGTTCAGTAGTCAACAAGTTTGTACAATTAGATACCTACAGCTGATCCTTGAAGAGCATGGTCTGAGCTATGTGGGTCCACTCACACATGGATTTTTCTCACTAAATACATACTACACTACACAATCCACAGTTGGCTGAATTCTTTTTATTTTTTAATTTTTTATTCAATTTATTTTTGGCTGCATTGGGTCTTTGTTGCTGCACGGGCTTTCTCTAGTTGCGGCTAGCGGGGGCTACTCTTCGTTGCTGTGCGCAGGCCTCTCACTGCGGTGGCTTCTCTTGTTGCAGAGCACAGGCTCTAGGCACGCGGGCTTCAGTAGTTGTGGCACGTGGGCTCGGTAGTTGTGGCTCACGGGCTCTAGAGCGCAGGCTCAGTAGTTGTGGCACACGGGCTTAGTTGTTCCGCAGCATGTAGGATCTTCCCAGACCAGGCTCGAACATGTGTCCTCTGCATTGGCAGGCGGATTCTTAACCACTGAGCCACCAGGGAAGTCCCTGGCTGAATTCTTAGATGCAGAACCTTGAACATGGAAGACCAACTGTAAAGTTTTATGGGGATTTTTGACTGTGCAGGGGTTTGGCAACCCCCACCCCCTGTGTTGTCAAGGGTCAACTGTAATTGAGTTCTTCACCTCACACTGGAGCCCAAAATATCTGTTTATAAACATAATTGCACAGAGAGGGGCATAAGGAAAGAGCATGAACTCAAACGGCCTTCATTCAAGTCCCCACCATGCCAGCTGTCCTAGTGGTGGACTCTCTCCAATGCTGAAGTTGCTTTTTATATTCAAATCAAATCTCTTTTGAGTACCTACTGTATACAAGGCTGGGCCATAGGACAACAGGGGTGATGCGTACGTTTCCTTACACTCCAGGATTTGATAGTTCAATGGCAGAGGTAAGACACAAAGGCCACAGGCAGGTGGGCAGAGCAGTGGGGGTTCACAAACGCATGGGTCACTCGAGCTCATGCCACAGCCAGATCTGCAGCAGATCAACAGGCAGGCATCAAGGACCCCTTGGGCCCCCATGCCAATGCTCCTTCGGTAGTTATCCTCCACTGTAGTTATCCCACAGTTTCACTGCACAGGCTGAAAAAGTTCAAAGTAGGGGTAAGATTCAGAAGGTGTAAGGAGACTCTGACAAACTTTTGCTAAGTTCTCCTCTAGGCCTCCCTTTGCTGGCCTCTTTCTGACCCACTACCTGCCCAGCTCAACACAGCCTCCTCTCCCCCAGCTCCAGCTCCAAGATATCTTTCAGTTTGCATTTTTCTGATCAGCTTCTCCAATGACAACACAATTACTCGACACAGCACTTAAGCTTTAACTGTGGCCCCTCCACTCCCAGGCCTGCAACACACTCAACAGTAAAACAGCACCACCTGGATATTGACAAGAGTGCCTCCGTGTAAGGCAGAGCCGGTCTTCCTGCCACAAGACTCTTCTCCACACTGGGAAGCAGCTGCCAGTCCTCTTCCCCCAGGTGAACACCTCTCAGTCCCTCCCGCACTCTCACATGAAGTGACGTCCCAGACCCTAAGGTCCTGGCTGCCCCTGGGGTCAAAGTCAATACCAACCAAAGCCCAGGACAGAAGAGGCTTTGTTTGTATTTGTATTCACTGCAGTATCCCCACCCCCAGCCAGGTCCAGCCAATAGCAGGTCCTCGATAAACCGTTTGTCGGATGAATGGATGGATGGAGGGAGGGATGAAAGGCACTACCTGCACCCGTCTCCAAATCAACATTACAGCTTACATTTTGGCACATTTAAGAGTAATAAGCTCCTTAGTTTATTACTAACTAATGAACTCTTCGGAGGGGTATCTCTCCAGAGACACAGATGAGCGTGTAAAGTCCAGAGCACAGAGAAGCATTTGGTACCCGGGGAAAACTGAGACAACAGACAAGGAGGGAACCTCCGCCCACCCCCCGACCCCGCAGGTTAAGAGGAAGCCTCTCCCGAAGGCGGGCAAACGCACTTCCCCGCAAATTCACATTTGTTTGGCAGGAATATTTCAAGGTGGAGACCCTCAGTCAGATGGCTGTTTTGGGCGCGAGCCTTTCGAGCCGCCTAAACCGAACTATGGCACGGCTGCCTCCTCTGCCGGTGGGCAAGGGCCCCTGGACCTGCTGTGTCACTGACAGCTCGCTGGGGTGGCGTTATCGCTGTCCCTGGCCTGTGCGGGGAGGGGGGCGGTTGTTGAGGGGAACCGATGCCAGGATGGAGAGAAGGCACCCGCCCTCCCGGGAGCTGACCTCTGGGGGCTCTCCCGACCGCTGCGCTCACAGCTGGAGGATGACCCACGTCCTCTCTTTACAGTTGGGGTCCCACCCAGCCCTAGAGGCCAGCCGGCTGGCAGTTACGGTGCAAGTTCCACAGGAGGGGAAATCGGCGCGAGGGCTGGTCTCGCGAAGCCGGGCAGCCGGGCACCCCGTGAGCCGCGCTGACCGACCCCCGGCTGCGGGGCGCGGCTCCGTGGGCCCCGGCTGGCCGCAGGGCAACACGCAGGGCCCCGGCCCGGGCAGCCGCCCCGGCCCCCCGCCGCCCCGGGGCCCGGCGGCCGCGCGCACGTTACCTGCGAGCCCAGGTCCGGCCCGCCCGCCGCCCTCCGCCATAGGTGCCGGCCTTCGGCCAGTCGGCAACTCGCCTCCCCCGCGGCCCCCGCCCGGAGCGCCTCCCGCAGACCGGAAGCAGCGCGACCGCGACCACTTCCGGCGCCTCGGGCTGTGGGCCGCGTCGGGGGCGCGGCTTCCGGCGGGCGCGCGCCTCCCTCAGGGGCTTCTGGCGCCTCTAGCAGGGCGCCAGGGCGTCCACCTCCCGCTTCGCTCCCGATGTGAGGACGAACGAGCGCCGGCGCTGGGCGCGCGCTGTCGGAGACGCGTGCTGTCGGGGGCGCGCGCCGTCGGGCCCCACCGGGGCTGTGTTTCGCCACAGAAGAAGTAGAGGAGTCTGGGAAAACACGCTCACCTGGGGGACGGAGCTAATTTGCATGTTCTGGGAACTCTGGTTGGTCGGGCCCGTCCCCGCCCCCACGGAAAGGGCGAGGCCTTCTGCCGGGAGGGTGTGGGCGGGGCCGCGGGAGGTTCGCGCCGGTGTTTGAATCCCACCCGAGCCGGGCTGATGGGGCGTCCCCGGGGAGTGCCGGCTGAAGGAGGCCTGCGCCGGACAGCGATGGCTCAGCGCCAGTGTGTCCCCGCGCGCTCAGCCGGGGGCTGGGAGCAGCCCCGGGAGAGCGTGGACGTGAAGGTGGGGGACTTTCAGCTCTGTCCTTGCAACAGATTCTGTTGGAGAGGCACGGCACGGCTGGGCATATATTACTGTGGTATTAGGTGAAGGCCCCCCGAAATTCCTTCCATGAAGTCAGGGATCATGTCTATCAAATTACTGTAGCCCAGTGCCTGACACAAAGCGTTTATTGAATAAATTAGTGAACGAAGGAATAACTTTTCTTGCCCACTCGCTTATTAAAATAACGTCGGACCATGTGTACTGAGTTTTGGTTTGTAAGCGTGGATTCCTTAGGCTCCTTCCACGCTCCCCACGGGTGGGGAGTAGGGTTCTGCAGGAGAAGGAGGAGGTCTCCAGCAGACGGGCAGGGAGGGGGGACTGAGGCCAGGTGAAGAGCGGGTTCCGAGTTTTACAGGTGGAGAAAAGGAGCTCCAGCAGGGGACCGATGCGTGTGAGGCTGGAGACCCCCCCCCCCCAACAAGCGTGCGTGTGACCCGCTGGCCTGGCCTGTGTTGTAATCACAGGCCCGGCCTGGCGTAGGCGGAGCCACACGGAGGGGCTTCGCGTCCCCAGGAGGAGTGTTCAAGTTCAGTGGGGGGCACCACCTGGGCAGCAGGCCCTGCAGGGGTGTCTGTTGGGGGAAGGGAGCTTCCTGCAGCTCTGTTTGGGCTTGATAACAGCAGAGACTACCACCGGCAGGAAAGCCAGGAGTGACGTGCCCTCCAGGGAGCCAGGGGCTTGCCATGCCCACTGGCCCTCCACCAGACCTGCACCTCGGGAACACCTGGGAGCCTGAAAAACTCAGAAGCCTGGACCACCCAAGTGTCCATCAGCGATGAATGGGTGGGTAAACAGTGTAGTCTACCCATACGGGTAGATATATATATACATCTACGGGTAGATATATATATCCCGCCATACGGTGGGATATCATTCAGCCTTAAAAGGGAAGGAAATTCTAACACATATTACAGCACGCGTGAACCTTTAAGGACATCAAGCTGAGTGGAAGAAGCCAGTCACCAAAAGGCCAATACTGTTTGATTCCACTCATGAGTTTCCTAAAGAAGTGAAAGTCATAGAGACAGAAAGTAGATGGTGGTGCCAGGGGCTGGGAGAGGGGGAGCGGGAAGTTGCTTAATGGGCCTGGAGTTTCAGTTTGAGAGGATGATAAAGTTCTGGAGATCCGTTGGTTGCACGACAGAGTGAATGTACTCACTACAAAACTGTGCACTTAAGGTTAAAATGGTAAAGTTTATTATGTATATCTTAACCACAGTTATTTAAAAAAAAAAAAAAGCAAGCCTGATGCCACCCCACCCCAGAGATCCTGATGCAGGCGATCTAGGATGTGTCCTGGGCATCAGGATTTTTGAGGCTCCCAGGTGATTCGAATGCAGCCAGGCTGAGACACCTGCCCCAGCCAGCTTCAGCTGCACTGCCCCCCATCCCAATATCAGGGCCTTTGCAACCAGGGGTTAAGTGGCCTGAGCAGAGTGTCACTCCCTGCCGGTGCCTGGCTCTGATATTGCCCTGGGGATCCCATCTGTTCTCTAGAAAGACCTGAGGCCCCACTGGGTCAGAGGCATCCCACCCCTCCTCCTAACTGCCCGCTGGGCATGGGTCAATGCTCTCAACACCAGCAGGTACTGGAGGGGGCACTAACGCTCGCCCTGTTGTTTTCAGGACCCTGAGGTCAGGGAGCCTTGGTACCGTGCCCACAACATACAGTGGCCCAGTCAGGACTCAAACCCAGGACCGTCCAGCCGGGCAGCCGCTCTCCTCAGGTCTCACCTTCCCTCCAGGTCCTTTAAGCCCAAAACACCCACCGACAAAGGGCTGTGAGTGAATGGAACAGATGGAATTCATCAGATCACGGGACCGACCCCCTCCCAACAGGAACTCCCTGGTGCTGCCACAGCTCTGGGAGCACCAGCCCTGGACAGACACAGGGCCAGTGCCACCTTCAGGCAGAGTAGGGGGCTGTCCCCGCACCCCTCCAAGTCCCAGGGGCACCCTGGCATTTTCCCATCCCATCACTTCCTCCTACCCCAAAATCCCCTGTCGCCTCCTGCTGCCATCTGACAGCTCAGGCCTGCCCCACAGCAGCTCACTTATCTGTGTCCCCAAAACAAAACACCCAATGTCCGCAAATGATCCCTCCTTGGAGTCTGGACCAGTCTTTCTGGAGGGCAACTTGGCATAAAATGTTCATAATCCTTGACCAGAAATTGCTCTTCTAAGCGTTTATTCTCGGGAAATAATCAGATGCGTGAGAGATGTTGCTACAGGGTTGCTCTTTACAGAAAAAAATGTCCAACAATAGCTTTCTGGCTCAGGAGGTCCGGGATGGGGCAAGGACTTCTCTCTTAACCAGCCCCTCGTCCCCTCCCCGCTGCAGGGAGCCAGGACCTCCTCTGGAAACGCTGCAGGTGCTGGGGCAGGTAGAAGCCAGAGCCCCCAGCTGCGCGAGGGGAGGGCTCCTGCCCCGGTCTTGGGGTGCTGGTGCTGTCGGCAGCTCGACCCCCGGAGCCCAGCCCAGGACGGGGCAGCACACGGCCACCCCGCAGGGTGGGAAACGGGCAGCTCTCCTGATCCTGGGCCCCTGGGCCTGTGTTTGGGGCGTCTGCTCTCAGGGCCTCGGGCCTCAACCCCCTTTCGGAGATCTCCTTTGCTGCTCCCCTCCCCCCCTGCCCTTGGCCTCCAAGGAGGAAGCAGGGCCACTCACTCCTCACGTTTACCCAGGAGACCATGAGCGAGGGCAGCCCTCACCCTCGGCTTTTCCCTGGAAACACCTGACCGGCCCTGCTCTGCAGACCCTGCCTCTGCCCTTCAGAGTCCCCGCCGCCGCGGAGCCGAGGTGCCGACCCTCCGAAAGGGGGCGGAGCCTGGAGTCCGCCAGGAGCCGGGGGCCAAGTCCTTCTGCCCAGCAACCAGTTCAGGGCGCAGCTCCTCCGGGCCTGCGTCTCCTGTGAAACGGGGCTGATGACCCCTGTCTGCAGGATTACTGTAAAGACACGAAATTCCTCAGGAAGTGCACTTGCTTCCCGGTCCAGAGAGAGCCTCAGAACAAAACGGGCATCAGTGCCACGGCCTGCTCCGTTCTCCACCCAACACCCACCCGGGGCACCTACTGCGCTGCTGGCCCCTGGGGGTGGGGGGCGGGGTCCAGACGTGGGAGAAGCCTGAACCTGCGTCCCCAGGGAGCAAAAGGGGCAGATTCTCGGAGAATGACTCCCCCATCCCAGGCCAGCCCAGTCTGCCCCAGGCTGAGGGGCTCCCAGAACGCAGGACCCCAGTTTTCAAACCGGAGTGAGCTGGGACCCTCCCCACCCCGCAGGATTGCTCCCAACCACCCTGCCTCACCATCCCTCCCTCCGGCCCCACCAGGTTGATTCTGTGCCCTGCGACTCAGGCTCTGTCGCTCTGACCCACAAACTCCTAAATGGTCCCCAGAAGTCCGGAATGTTCCTTCTCTGGGCATCTGGGGCCCTTTACAATGCAGACTCCAACCTCCCACCTAGAACCCAACCGTCTGCACACACCCGGAGGCCCGTCCACACCCTCAGCCAGGGGACCTGCCTCCCAGCTCAGCAGGTGCCTCCCCCATCCCCACCCACCCAGCTGGGCGCCTGGGCTCCTTGCCAGCCTCCACCCGTGGTTCTGGGCCCCATCTCGTCTCACCTTGACTTGCAGCTGCGGGAGGAGGTGTCTTATCTCTCCTGGCAGAGGTGCAGCTTCCTCGAAAGCTGCTTCTGCTCACAAAGATATTTAGATTCCCTCACAAGAGCTCGCTCGGGACTTGACATTGAACAGACGGCCAGAAGTGACAGCCACCTCGGCTGGGCACTGAGCCTGGTGCAGGCTGAGCCAAAGTGGACACTTACCATGGAGCCTGTGGTCCAGTAGGTGGGGTGAATAGTGGTTCCCCAAAAAGAAAAGTCCACCTCCTAACCCCTGAAACCTACGAATGGGACGTTATTTGGGAAACGGGGTTTTGCCGATATAATTAAGTAAACGATCTCCATCATCCTGCATTTAATGACAGATCTTTGGGTTTGAAAGGAAGAGGGAGATCTGAGACTCAGACACAGAGCAAGAAGGCCACGTGAGCAGACAGAGCCTGGAGGGATGCGGCCACAAGCTAAGAGCCACCAGAAGCTGGAAAAGACAGGAAGGGTCCTGCCCGAGAGCCTCCAGAGGGAGCGTGGCCCTGCCGACACGCTGATTTCAGACCTCTGCCCTCTGAACTGAGCACGAGTACGTGTCCGCTGGGTGAAGCTTCCCGGTGTGCGCCACTTGTCACGGCAGCCACAGGAAACTCACCCCCAGCCATGGACCAGAATCACACATCACCTGCGGAGTGAGGGCCACGAAGGATGGAGTGGGGCCGGGGCGCAAGAGGACGTCTGCAGGAGTCAGGGAGGGTGAGAAGTTAGCCACGAGAGAGGACACGTCGCAACCGAGGCACCGCACAGTTGGGCAAAGGCCCTTCTGGGGCCTGGGAGGGGAGACCCTGTGGACCTGGTGATGCCGGGTCCTGTGCTGTGTCACAGGAGGTCAACAGGGTTTTACCAAGCAGTGTGGTGATCAGACCCAGGTTTGGACAGAGCCACGCTGGCTCCCGTGTGTGGGAAATCGAGGGGAAAAGGGCGCAGGACTCCAGAGAGACCCGGGCAACCCCGTCCCCGCACCGG